ACTTCATAAAAAGATATTTTCTTAAAGGTCATATTCAAAAGTGGGAACATGTATGTGATTTATTATACTCGGCCGTCATAGCCAAGTGTGAGATGTTGATACATATGACTATGAGGCCTTACGTGTCTCAGCCTACATTTGTGGAAATCCAATATATTCAACGGTCATATGGTCCAACGTCCATATGAACGTTGGATATCCCTGAGATCAGGGAACCCTTTGTTTTTCTCAGAGACCCCATTGGAGAAATAAAACGGTTACCTATTCTTCTCCCTATAAAATGGGAAGCCAGAGAGAGGATGTGAATAGCAAGGAAAAGGCGTACAAATGCGTACAATTCTTCTCTCTCCCTAAAAAGTGAAGGGATAAAAAATCCGGGCTCTGCGATCACCAGCCTCACGAAACTTCTCTCTGATCTCGGATTTGATTTCATCTGTGCCATCTATTTTCACTATGCTCTTATTACGCTCATTTAAGATGCATGCTAAGTTGTTTATCGTTTAAGATGCATGCTTATTTAATATGCTAAGGCGGTTGACTGGCCCGCTCAAAGAAAGGGACAAATATTAGTCCTACATTGAAAATATTGGGGAGGTTAAGTTAGTATAAAATGAAGGTTACCAGATTAGTATTCATGAGCTTGACGCGTGGAGGAGCTCCCGCGCGTAAGTGTGCGGCACATATTAAGAAGCTCACGTCTGATAAACAATCTTTTTTGATACGAACTGGTGATGTGTCTGAATCATGATGTTATAAATTCGAGTCATGATCAATCTAATTCCCTGTAGCAAATCGTCCAGATCTTATTTTATTAGTAGATCCAAAACGGTTTATTAGTAGATCCAAAACGGTGTCACCGATAACCGATCCGCTTCGCCCAACCGATCCTTTTAAACAGTCAAGTAAAAGCAACCTGCCTTTGTTGTGAATTGTTTGCTTTGGCCTTAAGCATTGCTATTTTCATATGATATTATCAACAACACAATCCTCCAATCTCCTCTCACCAACTTGTGGTGTAACCTCCTTCTTACAAGACTCCTGAGGGGCCACATCAGCAAAGAAGGCACTAGATGAAGCCAAAGATTTGTCTCTCACCACACTATCCTTCTTACAAGAAACTGCAAAATTTTGTATTTCAACGCTTTTTCATCGATTGCGTTTGTCGATGAAACTTTCAACCATTCATTATTGCATGGCTGTAATTTTCTAGCACAATCACTCTCCCAAATGGTACCATCCTGACCTTTCGTCAATGACAACTGATTATTCCACTTTCCATTACCAAGTTTTCAATTTCCACAAATCCATTTGAAGATTTAAGGACGCCATAATCATGAAGAGTTTTCAAATTTGAAGGAACTTACTTATTAGATGATAAAATAGATTAGTAGCCATCATATTATCTTCGATATCTTTGTCTTTCTCAAAGACAGGTGCAACTGTCGTACTCTCTTCCATCGAAGAGAGTAAGGGAGCCTTATCATCCTTCATGCAGCTCTTCAAACGTGAAGATGAGGTTTCATAGTTGTCAAATTTCACATTTTCATCAAGATTGCATCTAATGGCATAGGTAAAAGTGTCTTGCCATCTCAGATTCTTGGTGAGGGGTTTCACGTTGAGCTTGATCATTCGTGTACTCCGTTTGCACCCTATAAAGTTCTTCTTTGTTTGTAGCATTGGCTATAATTTCTCTTGAGACTTGATATATGGCTTGCTACCTATGATAGTAACAGTAGCCCTTCTGCACAATTCGTCTTTGTGACCCAATAGAGCACACAACTAGAATGAACTCTTTTAAATAATTCTTTGCAGAAGAATTCTATTGTTCATATTCAACAAAATCTCTTCCAGTAATCAACATCGGCATTCGATACAACACAAACTCTAGCCTCAAGCTAGAATTCAGATGGGTTGACTTGTCCATAGACACTGGCTTCCCATTTAGCGCAACCAATTCCCAACAAATAAGTGAAAAATCTGGGAAGTTGATCAAAATCGAAAAGGTATTAATCTCCTTCTTCGATTCAGGATTCATTTCTAAAGGACAAGACACTTCTTGTTAATGAACTATGGTTCTCCTGACATTGCAATTTCTATTTCCTGAGTTATTTTAACTCGAAAAAGCATAAAACCATTACCAAGAGAGATGATCATTGAATGTGCCACATTTTCGTAAGCATGGTCGTCATGTAAGCCCACTCTGATCGCCTTCCAAGAAAATACTCCAATAAAACATGCTCCCATCTTGCAGCACGAGTTCCTTGAAATAGAGAATGAGCATGTTGCGTCATCTTTGGATCTAGCTTGTTGACCATCATATACATGCACCTTGGGATGAGTTGAACGCTGCAACCTGTCATGCTCTAGAGATGTGGAAACCTAAGAAAGGCTTGAGGAAAAGAAGTCAGGAAGTTTAGAAAAGATGGGATTCACCATGGATAGATCCCATCGACATGGGTGCTCATGAAGATCTCAGACATGGCTGTCAACTCGTGTACCACTAGGTCTGGAAAGCCACACTGCAAATTGCTAGAAAGTCGAGTGCTAGCCTCTTTGTCCTCAACTTCATATTTACTCATGTCACAGACCCATACATGTAAATCAAAAGCGAAAAATAGAACAAAACTCCGAATTCATATTTACTCATGTTACAAACCCATACACATAAATCACAGCACAAAGGACGATTGTAGTGTGAGATCTTGGATATGGGGAAGAGAGCAGAGAGAAAGGGAGAGTTTGGAGGTTTGAAACGAGGGTGAGTTGCATGGAGAGGGGAAGAGCTGTGAAAGAGGGAAAGGAGAAGGGCGAGAGAAAATGAGGGTGTTAGGATTTGGAGAGGGGGAAGAGAGGGAAGTGGGCATCTCAAACCCACCCCTTACCCTTCTTCCTTTTATCTTTTTTCTAGAAGTTATGGTGTCAAAATTTCTACAAAACGAAAACATTGTAGAAGACTGTGTTGCCAAATGTGGAACTTCTGTAATGAACCAAATTTATTTTTTTTTAGTTTTGGACCCAGAAACTGCATTGCCAAATATCCTACATGTTTGCAAAATTTGGAGTTGAAAAGTATTTACTGTTTTTTTTGTTTTTAGGAGATGATGGTTTTAAAATCTTAAATCCTAAGCGCCACTCTTTTGAGCCAAAATTGTTGCTCTTTAAGGTCATTTGAGTGGCTGTAACACGACCAAATTTCTCCACAGGCCTTGCACGATCTTTTATATATAAAGGGGTCAATATTACCAGTTAAGATAAATACTAGAGGATTAGTTATTGGGGATTTTTTAGCCATTTAAAGGCCCTTACAAGAGCATGTAAAACTATGAGTATGGTGATATTATACTCCAGTGAGAGTGTGGTCAATATGGACTAGAGTGGCATGTTTTATAATGCTTGTGACTTACCAAGGTTTGATTGTTTAGGCTCGAGATAAAGTCTAAAACCATTTAGCTCTGGGCATAAGACATAACCATGGAAGGTTTGCATATATCCATTGGTTAGGTTGGAGAGATGCTTAGGGTGGATAGCTAGGACTGTTGGGTCTCTTGTGTACAATTGATGGTACCTGTGTTTAGAGAGCGAGCCGTTGGGGTGTGACACGTACATGTGATACAGAGATGACTCTTTGTACCATTTTGATAGTGTGCACATGTCAAGAAGGACATGAATTGTCCTTTTTAGTACTTGAATCAACATATTAGGTCTGTGTTATTTTTATTTATTAGCCAACTTTGATAGACCAATTTATGAGCCTCTATAATAGATTGTGGGTCATAAGTTCTATTGGATTGGTTTGAGAATTATTGCTAGCATAAGTGGAGTGCTTTAGTTATCACATGTTTTTTGACCCGATGGATCCAATTCCTACTTAGTTGCGTGTAATTGTATTTTATTTGAATTATGGAGTGATAAAATGAATTGATAACGTACTTTTTATATTTTATTTATCTCAAAATGGAATTTTATAGGCTTAAAAATGGTTTTCTAGGTATTTAAAACATAGTAGTTTTGAAAATACTAAATGATAATTAAAACTTTCAAACTATAATTCGTGGGATCATGTGGGGCCCAATAGTCATGCACCCCACACGTGATGGGCCCACATGTGTGGAGGGCATGGAGCCCACATAAGCCCCTTCGTACTGCCCACTTCCGACCTCTCCATCTCTCTCTCTCTTCTTTCTTATCCACCACGTCTTTTAGAAGATGGTGAATATTTAGAAAATATTTGATTGAAGATTTATAAAGAGAGGGGGGAAAAGTTTGTATTTTCATGGAAAGTGGTATCATAATTTGAGATTTTGGAGAACTAAATTAGATTGTAAGAGAGAATGGGTTAAAAAAACTAAGGGATAACGGTTCTAGAACCTTCATTTCATTATTATGGCTGATTCAAAGAATGAAGGGATGAAATTAAATGTTAATTTTGATCCATAAATCTCCTTATATCAATAGTCCAAATTAAATATAAAAAAATGGCAACCTTAATCCTAATTTTGCTCTCTCTCTCTCTTGCCTCCACATCTCTCCTCTCTATCTCCTCTTCTCTCTTCTCTCCCTAAGACCCTAACTCTGTAGCCCACAAACCTAAACGGTTGACATGCCCCACCTTGACCCTAAAAGGGGGTGGCACGCCTAAGACCCTTGTGCTTATGTGGTGTTATTGGGTTGTACTCTCGTGAAACCCAACTATGGTTGGCCATATCTTCCCATCCCAGAGGTTGTAAAGGGACCTAGATCACGTGCCCTATCAGTCTTAGAAATTCAGAGTGGGGTGTGCTTAGAGCTTTAGAGGTGATCCGAAGCAAGGTATTACGATAAAAATTGTTTCCATTTTTTGATTCGCTCATGCATTGTAAAAGAATTTTGTTTATGCCATACAAGTGAAGATCCTAGATTGTATTAGGATTTTATTTTTTATATTTTTCAGTTATAAATTAGCACTTGTAAGTGGTCTAGCCGTGGAAATAAAATAAAGTAAGAAAAATTTTAACTGCATATAATTGACTAGAACTACATTGCCACCTTTCATTTATTACACGTATTTGCATGTTAGACACCAAGAGACTTAGCATTACTCCAAAACAAATGTGCCCGTTCACAAATGATACCTGTTCGCATGTTCGCCACTAGAGAGTTTGCATTCCTCCAAAACAAATGAGTTCTCACAATTTCGAAAGGCAAAAATCGTTCTCCACATATGCCAGGACCAATTAAATTAAGACAAGATACCAAAGTTCAATATTCGCATAGCTTGTTAAGACATGGGTTTGGCAACCAGTGTCATCCCATGTAATGTCTCAAATTATCATTTGGCGTAGCAGGCGCCGCAGAAATCCAATGCCAAACACCACGCCCTGATTTTTGTCCCTGTGTAGGCTCTGAACTCTTGTCATTCAGAACTTGTTGGGGCCCAGCTTTCTGTTGCTGAAGCATTTGGAACTCATGATGTAGAGAATCCATTGACTCCATCCTTTTCCTCAAATCCGCAATGTGAACCTAACACATACATCGGCAGCTTTTGTTAGCTATGCTAATTCAATACATTTGGATTGGGTAGATACCGTACCCGAAGCTTTTGAACTGCTGTATGTAATGTACCTCGAGTTCAAAACACCTTGACCTCTCTGTTTCTAGTTGCTCTTGAACAGAACTCAGCTCCTTCACAAAAAGAGAATGGGAAGAATAAAATTTAGCAGTTCTATACGTAATAAGGAAATCCATAAAGGTGGAAATTGCTGGAACATCTATCTAGGTTGTACAGTTGCTCTAAAAATCAGGATTTCAAAAGCCAGCTTCGACTCATTTTCTCATTTTCTTCTACAAACAACTACTACATGTGTACCATTCAACTCATTTCACTAAAAATAGTCTTGCTAAGTTTGGTTTCAAATGCCAGACCAGGGACACATTAGTTATTACTTTATCTTATTACCTTATGGTGATAAAATAGATATTTTGGAAGTAAAGACCAGTCCACAAACTGTTTGGAGATAACAAGTTAACCTGCACAATTTATGCAGGCAGTCCAGATACTCCATTACTTTTTGCTGTTTTAAAAGAAGAAAGCCATACCTTATATAGTTCGGCATGCATCTCGTTCATTTCAGAAATGTTTTCTTTAAGCCTGGCATTCTCAGCTTTTATGGCCGTGAGGTTTGATTCCAATGTATGCTTTCTTTCTAAGAGTGAATCAGTTTCAACAGCCACCTGCCGTTCAGAGCTGCCAGACAAGAATGCTTCCAAATTAACTTCATTCCCAATGCTTTCAGGTTCCAATATTTTGCTTGTTCCACTATTCAAGGCATAAGCAGCAGTTACTGATGCTGCAGCGGCTGCTGCTGCAGGAGACTGAAAAATCTTTGGCTGGGAGGCTTCTTTCAGCTTAGGTTTCAAGATGAGTACCTGGAGGTGAGGTCAATTTGGCAGTTACAGAAAAATAGGCTGTTCACTTACCAAACCAATACAAAAACCAGATAAATAATGATACAACAGGCTATCATATCTAGTGGTACACTTAGTGTTCAAAAACTAGAACTCGGTGACCAACTCGAATATTGCCAAAGGCGAGACAACTCACCAGAGTTTAACAGTAAATGCAGAAAATACTTCCAAGTTTTCCAGTTTCTGAAAAAGCTAGAAGAAAAATGAAGAAAAATGGTTTTGATATTCATTTGTGAGGGCGGAAAAAACCCACGCTTTGGCCATTTTGCTAATTCCAAATAAGTGAACAAAACAAAACCAAACAATCATACATTGTCAAATCGGGCAAATCTGAATTTTCCATTCATAAAACAAGGTGAGTGGGTAAGTGGAGGTAACTTGACAACTTTTTCAAGAGTTTAATCAAATGTTTCAATAACTTCTTATAATCGGAGTTTAAAAAATCAATCAACGGTTTCCGCCGGTGAACCATTGGTCCCACCAAATGGTCCAAATCAAGTCACCTCGGGGACTGAGGCAATCTTAAAAAATAAAATAAAATAAAAAATAGAACAAAAAAGAGAAAAATAGCAAAAAAAAAAAAAAATATATAAAATCAAATATTTGATTTCATATAATAGGAGATATAAATCAAAATCAGAAAATTATAGCCCAAAGACACTACAAGAAGAAAATGGCAAAAAAGCACCAAAAAATGATCTTAGAGACTTTTGGTTTTGATTTAAAAAAATTTCCGGGGATTTTCTAGATCAATATGATAGGAACGTTTTGGGGCAAATTAAACGAATTTCGTGAACAATGAGAAAGAAATCAAAGATATTTGATTTTGGGTTCAGAAACTCCTGAAACATGGATACTGGATTTATTCTATTAGCTTTTCGATTCAACAAATTGTTAAAGGGGTTTGTTACATGGCTCAAAGAAGAACAATTGAAACAATTTCAAATTATTTCATTGAGAATTGAGAGAGAAAATGTGAGAATGATATATTAGGTTTTTAGGCTCCAAAAATGATGAGATTTTGTTGAAACAAATGCCCAAAGCAAAAATTGATCAAGTAAAAACTGCTTTTAAAAATCAAATGGAGCTAACGGAGATCGATTGGTGTTAAAAGCAATCCTAATAGGGATAAAATAGAAATGGAATCAATTATTGATCCAATAAAGCCAAAACAAGAGGCCGTAAATATTAGAGTTATGGCCTTTCCAGGCCTTGACACCAGCATTTTGTAGCTCTTGTTTATAGAAGGAGTGACCGAGAGTGATGTGACTCTAGGATCTTGGTGAACTAGGACCAAAAGTCCATGAAGCTTGAGTATCAGAGGGCACCATATCAAGAAGGTTGAGGGTTACCTCTGGTTAAGGTCAGATTGTTTTATGCCGCATGATGATGTGATGGGGATGTTGAAGAAAAAAACTATAACTTTTCTAATAAGAGCTCGAGTAATTGAGAGCTATGGTCCTGAATGAGAGTATTAAGCTTTTAGAGGACATAAGCATGCACATTTAAACAGAAAGCTGCTCTTTTATAGTTGATCCAATTGAAAGAGAAATGCACATATGTCGAGAGACGACCCGTACATCCACAAGAGTGAATGTCCTCGGGGGTGCACCTGTATCCCCTACAACTTGAGGGTCCAAAGCCATGTATCAGATAGACTTTGGTAAGCCAGGTATGGGCACCTACCACATATGGTGGGCCATGGGTTTGTTGGGTCATTCTGAGAATGTGACTTTGGATTTTGGGTCTAGCCAAGTGGAGTGCTCCGAGGAAACTTAGATTTTACAAATTGTTTTTTTAGAAATGACAGATGAGGACATCCCCCTATAGCCCACGCGTGTCACCCAAGTGGCCAATGGGTGCCACATATGGTCAATGTGGGGTGAAATCAACCACCTATAGGGGAGGCCATCTTGTCAATTGTGTAATTATTCTAAAAAGGTGTTTTGTTTTACGAAGTATTTTGAGAAAATTAGAAAATGAATTTGAACACAAGTTTCATATGTGTGCAATGTTCAAGAAGATGGGGGTGGAGGGTGATATATTATAAATTTTGAATTTTTTTGAAATATTACTTTATGTTGGGCTGTAAATTTTGAAATATTATATTATGTTTGGCTATAAATTTGAATACTACTCTATTATAGTCAAACAAATAGTCAAATTTTTAAATTTGCAATATAAATTAGAAATAAAGCAAAACATAGCAAAAAATTATTATAATCACTAAAATATCATCATCATCATCATAGCCTTTGCCCAATAAATTGGAGTTGCCTAATTATAATCACTAAAATAGCAAACCTATAAAAAACACTCAAAGTTTCATCATAAGTGTAAAGCCAAACTTCAAAAATAAATACAAGAAAATGATAAAAACACAACACAATAACTTCACAAAAATATCAAATCCTAAAAAAATAGACTTTGTTGAACAAATTGAGTTCTTTTAGGTTTCGGGGGGGCCAAAATGCCCCCCAAATGCTATTTCCCCATTCTCAAGGCTGAGAATTCCCTTTTGGCAAGGTCAATTTTCATCCTCACCAAAAAAGGCTTTGGGTGGGCGCCCAAGCAATGCCCTGGGCAACTAGTCGGCACAGGGTCACAGCCCTGCACAGCATGAAGCGTTGATGCCTCCCCGCCAACTGAGCGGCCCATCCCCGTGGTTGGTGGGCTGACTTTTTGAATTATGGTTGTGTGCAAATGGTGTGATCTTATAGAAGGGATATAGGATTCAATATTGTCTAAGTCCTCTTGGAATTAAGCTCATAACCAACTATCCTATGTGGCATCATGAGATTGTGGCACATGCACACCTTAATGACTTAGATTTGGATATTTCAAATTGTTTACTTAGGCTTCCTCGTTTTATTTAATTGGTATAACATACGTAATTGAGGAAACAAGTTGAATTTGGTGTGAATTTGCATTAAAGTTTAATGACGGGAAATTTGAAGTGAATTTAGGGTTTATTAGGAGGATAATAGTGTTGAATCTCATTCACTCATCAAGATGGCATGATGAGGGCTAGGATCAAGCCCTCTACCTCATGCCATGGATGACTTGTGTTAATGACCAAGATTGATTCATCCAAAAGCATCTACTATACAAGCATATAAATAGGGGTCTTGTTCACCCATTTGAGAGAGTCTAATAGAGAGTGGCATGCCCCCTTAGAGCTCTCTCTCATGTTTCGAGCATGTTCTTTAGAGTGAGAAATAAAAGTGTAGTGTCAGATCTAAGTGAGAGAAAGTGGGATTGAAACTTCATTAAAGCTTCAATTCAAGCTTGGAGGTGAAACCCTATCTCCATGGTAATGAAGCTTCAATCTCATTTGAGGTGAAACCCTATCTCCATGGTGACTCAATTTCGGAGAATTCTTCATCAAGTCATGATCTATGGAGTTTATGGTGGTTGTAACTCCTCATTTACAGTTAGATATCATAACCCCTTACCTTCCTATTTCATGAGATTCACATTGATCCTAAAATATGAGCCTTTGATTCCTAATTCTTGATCACATTTTGGAGAGATTTTGATTGAATGAGAATTTATTATCTCATTTCTCTGTAACTTTTGGATCCAAATGAGTCAATTAATTCATCTCCTAGATGTTTTAATCTAGTAAAATTTTAAGGGGAAACTATGCTAAAATTTTCCCACATCTATACAACATATTTCATCACTAAATTGTGAGTACTTGGAAGTTGGAACCCAATTCTACTACATTCTTAATAATGTATGGAACCAAGTCCAAGTTACAAGACCTAAAAAATTCACATACAATGGACTTCACAACGACACAGTCAAAATACAACTCAATTACAAAACATACACCCACATGAATCTCAATTACATTCACTCATGCATGAATTACAGCTTCATTATGGATATCCATACACTTTAAAATCCAAGGACCACAACTCCATATAGGTCCATAACAAAGTCCAACCAAAACTACATAAGGAGATTGAGCATAATCAACATAAAACTCAAGTTCTATAAAATTCAGCACTATACAACTACAATGCCAAATTATACATCAATTCGAAATTATAGAAACTCTATAAAACTTAATTTCCACGTACAAACAGAATGATACTCAAATGCTTAAGAGATCTTGATTGCGAGAAGCCAAAGTTCAAGCTCTTTGTGCCCAGTTTACGGCCAAGGACTTTGTTGTATACCATGGAATAACCACTCAAATGGCACTAAGATCTTGGCCTGCTCCACATCATCTTATGGGAAGCATTTAAGCATCACAGAAACTATAGTTTGTGGCACTTTTCAACAAATAAAATACTCAAGAGTTTAGTGGGAGAAATGTCACAAATTTGGGCTTCAAATACTCACAATTTGATGATGAAGTATGTAGTGTGGATGTGGGGAAAGTTTGGTATAGTTTCCTTTTAAATTTCACCATATTAAAATACAAGGATGTGAATTAATTGACTGATTTGGATCCAAAATTTGTAAAGAAATCAGTTATTAAATTCTCAATAAAACTCAATTAAATTCTTTCCAAAATGTGATCGATGAATCAAGAATGACAAGCTCATATTCTAGGATCAATTTGAACTAAAATTCTCATGGAACAAGAAGGTAGGAGGCTATGATATGTTGCTGTAAATAAAGAGTTCCAGACACCAAAAGCTCTATAGATGTATGGCTTGAAAAAAAATTCTCCAAAATTAAGTCACCATAGAGCTATAGTTTCACCTCCAAGCTTGAAATGAAGCTTTAATGGAGCTTGAATCTTATTTTCTCTCACTTTAGATCTCACACTCTATAACTTACTTTCTCACACTAATACACTCACTAACATAGAGAAGAGAGAGGCCTAAGGGGGGCATTCCACTGTATTAGAGAATAGGTAAAATGAGTGATCAAGGTAGTTATTTTTAGGCTTGTGTAATAGATGCTTCTAGATGAGTTAATCTTGTTGACACAAGTTATCTATA